GGAGAGGCCATGGAAAAAGACTTTCGGACTGCCTCGAAGAGATTCTGGCAAACCGTCAGGCGTCTCAGGAGGGGAAAGCGGTGCTCTACCTGCACTGTGTATAGTGCTGGCGGAGCGCTGCTGACGTCGACTGAGAAAATTGTCAGGCGGTGGAAGGAATACTTCGAGGACCTCCTTAATCCCACTGACACGTCTTCCGAGGAGGAAGCAGAGTCTGGGGATGAGGGGAATGACCCGCCAATTTCCGGGGGCGAGGTCACTGAGGCAGTTAAACAACTCCTTGGTGGCAGAGCCCCTGGTGTTGATGAGGTCCGCCCCGAGTTCCTGAAGGCTCTGGACGTTGTAGGGCTGTCCTGGTTGACACGCCTCTGCAATGTTGCGTGGAGATCAGGGGCAGTACCTGTGGACTGGCAGACCGGGGTGGTGGTCCCCATCTTTAAGAAGGGGACCGGAGGGTGTGTTCCAACTACAGGGGGATCACACTCCTCAGCCTCCCTGGGAAAGTCTATGCCAGGGTGCTGGAAAGGAGAGTTCGTCCGCTAGTCGAACCTCGGATACAGGAGGAACAATGCGGTTTTCGTCCTGGTCGCGGAACACTGGACCAGCTCTTTATCCTCTCGAGGATACTTGAGGGTGCATGGGAGTTTGCCCAACCAGTCTACATGTGTTTTGTGGACTTGGAGAAGGCATTCGACCGTGTCCCTCGGGGTGTCCTGTGGGAGGTGTTGCGGGAGTATGGGGTGTCTGGCCCATTGCTACGGGCCATTCGATCCCTATACAACCGTTGCAAGAGCTTGGTTCGCATTGCCGGCAATAAGTCGGACTCGTTCCCGGTGGGTGATGGGCTCCGCCAGGGCTGCCCTTTGTCTCCGGTTCTGTTCATAATTTTTATGGACAGGATTTCTAGGCGCAGCCAAGTGGCGGAGGGCTTTCGCTTTGGTGGCCTCAGAATCTCATCTCTGATTTTTGCGGATGATGTGGTTCTGTTGGCTTCATCGGGTGAGGGCCTCCAGCTCGCACTGGAACGGTTCGCAGCCGAGTGTGAAGCAGCGGGAATGAGGATCAGCACCTCCAAATCTGAGGCCATGGTTCTCAGCCGGAAAAGGGTGGAGTGCCCACTCCGGGTCGGGGATGAGTTCCTGCCCCAAGTGGAGGAGTTCAAGTATCTCGGGGTCTTGTTCGCGAGTGATGGGAGAAGGGAGCCGGAGATCGACAGACGGATTGGGGCTGCAGCTGCAGTAATGCGGACGCTGCACCGGTCCGTCGTGGTGAAGAGGGAGCTGAGTGTAAAAGCGAAGCTCTCAATTTACCGAAGCTGGAGGAGGTGGCTGGGGAGAGGGAGGTCTGGACCTCTTTGCTTAGGCTGCTACCCCCGCGACCCGACCTCGGATAAGCGGATGAAGATGGATGGATGGATGGATCAAACGAGCCAATGTGCTGTTTATCATCTTCCATATTGAGTTGACTGGTTCTGCTGGCCGTTACTACCAGATCAACTGCCCATTTGCGCATGTGCCAAGATAAAAAATGTAATCAGATTAGTCATGATGATGGATTAAGCTGCGTTAACGTGTTAATTTTGACAGCCCTAATATATATGGATATATATGTCTCTTAACATAAGATTTGATTAGTAGTAGAAGCACTTTTAAAGATTTTTTTTTACCATTTTCTCCTCTCTCCCATAATCATGATCTTTTTGCTTTTTCTTTCAATCCAGGTAAGGAGTCCCTGGTTTGTTGACAGTCCCCAAGGTGCTGGTGTCCCACACTTGGTGAAAGAGCAGAACAGGCTGGTTTCAAGTAGCATGTCTGGTGGAGAGATGATACCCCTATCTGCTGCCTTTACAAGGGGCTCTAAGGCTAGAGCAAGTCTACCTGTAGGCCGATCAAGTGGTCAGACAAGAAGTTGGCCGTTAGGTATGTAGACACATCTAAATAAATCTGTTCAATAACACTGTATGAAATAGTTTACTTCTTAACTGATTTGGACAACACATATGAATATCCTGCAGAAGCTGTATGGAAAATATGGTCATGAAAATGCTGTCAGGATCCAATTTATGATAAAATACCACATTCCCAGATCACTTCCATCTCTCTTTAAAACATTTACTTTTAGAAGACATAATGATACAATAAACACACACACACACACACACACACACACACACACACACACACACACACACACACACACACACACATTAAAAAAAACATAGCATAGAAAATAAATGGATGGTTTTTTGCGCTAGTAAAGTTGTGGAGTTGCATTTTGTATTTTGTCTCACATCAATTATATCATCAGTTATATCACATATCGCATAAATATTTTTGGCCATATTGCCCTGCTCTACTGTGGAGTACCTCAGGGTTTTCTACTGGGGCCCATTCTTTTCTCTTTATATTTGCTTCCCCGTGGGGTCCATTTATAAAAAGCATAATGTCCTTTCATTGCTTTGCAGATGACCTCCAGATATACAGTTAGGACCAAAAATATTTGAACAGAGACAATTTTTTTCTGATTTTATACAATACAGTACAACTTTATTTATATAGCACATTTAAAAAACCAGCGGTACACCAAAGTGCTTTACAATCGAAACAGGAAAATAAAGACATGGTTAAATAAAAGACTATTAACAAAGTACCACATATGTCAGCAGGTTGAGTGCACTAATTATACAGGAATAAAGTTACCAAGAGCAGATATTGCTAAAAGATAAAGTATATAGATAAAAAAATTGAGCCAAATATAAAATAGGGACACTAACTACGGTAGATGGAAAAGCTAGGTTAAATAAATGAGTTTTTAAACTGGATTTAAAAGATAAAATGGAGTCTGATGCACAGATGGCAATGGGAAGGTCGTTCCACAGGTTAGGTGCAACCAGGGCAAAAGCACGGTCACCCCTAGATTTAAGTCTAGATCTAGGCTGAGCCAGGAGTAATTTGGCTGAAGACCTGAGGGCTCGCCCAGGGACATGTGGACTATGGAGATCGACCAGATAGCTAGGGGCTAAATTATTTATAATTTTAAAGGTGAGCAACAATATTTTAAATTCAATATGATATTTTATGGGTAACCAATACAAATCAGCAAGAACAGGGGTGACAGAGGCATGCTTTCTAGTACCAGTCAGGAGGCGAGCTGCAGCATTCTGGACAAGCTGAAGTCTGTGAAGGAGAGCAGAGTGAAGACCAAAGTAGAGAGAATAACAATAATCCAATCTAAAAGTTATAAAAGCATGAATGAGTTTTCAAGATCTTTATGAGGGACATAGCGCTTAGCCTTAGCAATAAGGCGCAGTTGGTAAAAGCTAGATTTGATTACTGAGGACACTTGTTTGTTAAATTTAAAAGAGCTATCCAGCAGGACACCTAGGTCACTAACCGAGTCAGAGAGAGAAGTGGCAAAGGAACCAAAGGTATCAGCTAATATGTCCCAGGGGGTATGGTTGCCAAACACTACAATTGCCGTTTTCTTTTCATTCAGGATAAGGGAATTGCCCAAAAGCAATTCTCTGACTTCTCTCATGCACTTGAGAAAGCAGTGCAACGATGGAGCAAATGTTATATTTTTCAAAGATTAAGTCTAGAGGGGCATGTATAATGAGAATAACATTGGGCCAAGCACAGAGCCTTGAGGAACACCACAGCATAAGGATGCAGTGGTGTGCATGGCTCTGTACATTACCACAATAAACTTTAAATGAAACAACTCAGACGGAGCTTTTATTCTGTGGGTTGAAAAAGATGTCATAAAAATGTGAGGAACTAAAGTATTTTTAACACAGTCCCTTCATTTCAAGGGCTCAAATGTAATTGGACAATTAAATAACTGAAAATAAAATGTTCATTTCTAATACTTGGTTGAAAATCCTTTGCTGGCAATGACAGCCTTAAGTCTTGAACTCATGGACATCACTAGGTGTCCTCCTGACTCTCCCAGGCCTCTACTGCAGCAGCTTTCAGTTGATAATTTGATAATGTCATAATGAAGGGATTGCCAACACCTGCCCATGAAATAGCCTTTAAGTAAATTTTCCAATTGGTCCCTCACTGTAACGCAGTTCACCTTTTGCGGCCTTGCAAAATTAGTTTCCTAAAATTTTGCATTCCTTTTTTCTTTTTTGTTTTCTTTTTTGTTTTTTTGTTTTTTACAGCGCATTGTGTTCTGCGTCCTGATTGGCTATAGACCACTGTCAATCAATGGTTGCTCTATTCCCATGTTTTGGACCTGAAAACAGGGTTTGATGTTTGGTTTGATTCTATAATACTGGACTTATTTTTCTACGAAGGTTTGAACTTTGAGGCTGTTTAAACTAGAGAGAAAATGTTCATGCTTGTCTGAGAAGTATGTAGTGAGGGGTTTTAAACCCTTAAAACATCTATAATAATTGTTAAAAATAAAGCTGACTAGTTCGCGGATTTCACCTATCGCAGGTTACTTTTAGAATGTAACTCCCGCGATTAATGAGGGGCCACTGTACTTTGGTCCCTTTAAAAAGAGGGTGGAACATGTTAAGCAGCTGAAACTCCTAAACTCTTCATCCAATTTGAGTGTAGACTTAAATGAAAGCTGAGAGTGTAAACATATCCATGCCCATTATATAACTATAATTGGAATATGTTTCAGTAAACAGAAAAAAAACAAAACTTGTGTCAATGTCCAAATACATTTGAACACAGTTAGTGTCCAAATACATTTGGACACTAACTGTGTTCAAATGTATTTGGACACTGTGTTCAAATACATTTGTATTTGCGTATACAAACCAACAGCCATATTTCTAACCAGGCACTAGTGAACTGTCCCAGAGATGTACAGTCGTGAGGAAATAAACTTTTGGGCAACCCAGTCTGTTACATGGGTATGACAGCGCTATTGGTCCTTTAGTGTCTTACTGTCATCTGGTTGCAAGGCACCTTGGTGTGACTTTCAACAGTGCTTTAAAATTTGATAAACAGATCAGCTCAGCTGTTAAGACAAGTTTCTTTTAACTAAGGCTCCTCAGTAAAGTGAAGGCCTGCCTCGCTTTTATTACCTGTCATCTTAATTACTGTAACTCTTTATATGTTGGCTCTGATCAGTTCTTACTTCAGTGTTCAAAATGCAGATGTTTGCCTTTTGACAGGAAAGAAAAGGTGTGATCACATTACACCTATACTGGCATCCTAACACTGGCTTCAAGTCCGTTTCCGTATCCAGTTTAAAATGTTATTACTTGTTTTTAAGAGTCTCAATGGTTTGGCGCCACGTTACTTAACAGAACTTTTGAAACTCTATGTAGGGTAATTTCCAATAAACAAAGTTTAAAAAAGGAGTCTTGTGTTCCTGGTTTCCAAAAGAAATGCTTCCAGTTGCATTATGATTTGAAGACTGTTTATGTATTACAAACTGAAGATGTAACAATGAACTCCTTCCTAAATAAGCATGAAAGTTCCAAAAAATAAGCAGTTATCCAGAACTACCTGTGCACACGGTCAGAAAACCGTGAGACTCCTAACCTCGCTGTCCATGCTCCGCCCCTTCCCCCTCACACAGGGTTTCATGCTGCTATTGCACTAGGGAGAAATGAATAAATCAGGAAGGGGAGAGGATTAGTAAGTGGGAAGTGAGGGCAGCTATGAAGAGGATGAAAAATGGAAAGGCAGATGTTTCAGATGATATACCTGTGGAAGTCAGGATATGTATTAATTCTTTAACCAGACTGTTTAACACAGTGTTGTAGAGTGGGGGAAAGAGTGTACTGCTTTTCAAGAACAAGTTTGATACTATGGTTCTGAACAAGGGTGAAAAACTTTACATCCAATTTTCTTCCTAACACAAATAAAGGCATTTGTGTCCCCCACTGGAATCAAACCAGCAACCTTTTGCTTGCTAATCAAGCGTGTCAAGCATTACACAGTTGGAGGCATTAGAGTTGTAGCTGCAGAAATCCCTTTAAAAGAAGTTTCATTTTATCAAGTTACCAACTGAATTAACATTAATCCTGGCAGCTAATTTGACTGCTGAGGTTTCTCCTAGTAGCATTTCTGTTAGATGGACAGTGTTGCAGTGGTTAGCTCAGTCATCTCACAGCTAAAAAGCCTGTAGGTCTGAACCTTCCTCAGGTTTTGTGGAGTTTGCATGTTATCTATGTTCCTGATACTTTGATGTTTCTCCCTGTTTGAAAACTGTATGTTACATATCAGGTTAATTGCTGATTACAATCAGACGTAACTAAGTATGTGTCACGGCTGGGGCAGCAGTCGTATGGTGTTACGAGAAAAGGACCCAAAATGCACGAACTGGCTGGGGTGCGAGTAAGTGTTTATTTACAGTGACGGCGAAGTACAAAAACAGGAAATAAGGAACAGGGAGCTACTAAAGCCTAGACTGGGAAAAACTAATAAACAACCCTGAAAACATAAGGACACAGGATGATACACGGAGATGACACGGAGGAAGCAGGGCAGAGAGACGCAGAGAAACACTGAATAACACAGACGAACCGACAAGGATCACAGGCAGGCACACACTGTAAAAACACACAAGGTAATTAGGGAATGACACACCAGAGGGGAACACAGCTGAACCTAATAGACACAACGAGACACAGACCTTCAAAGTAAAACAGGAAATTCACAAACTGTTCTACAACACTAACTCAGGGACACGAACAGAGCACAGGAGGGAGCACACTAAAACACTAAACACAAGAACCAAACCCTAAGAATTAATACAAAACATAAGATGATACCAAAATGAAACACAAAACGCTGGGTCATGTGGACCATGACAGTATGCATATGAGACAAATTGAGTGCATAGGATAGCTCGTGAATTACTGGGATTTAAATAATCTCTCAGCATGAATCTATTCATACTTCACACTTCACCTGCAAGCTCTTGTGTTGGAGCTTGAAGGTTTAGTTTATAAGCTGTCTGCTTCATAAGCCATTGAGAAGCAAGCACCTGTACCCTATTTAATTTAAAGATTTTGTTGTGGATTAGCATTCTTATGTTGTATATGGCTAAATATATTAAAATAAACATCAAAAATATTTATTTTAGCTGCCACTCATCAGTTTGCGTATTAAGATTTGAAGATGTTTCTTTGTACGGTTCTGACACAGACTGATGGCCCCTCTTCCTGCCTGTTTGTGTTGTTTCAGGTGTGCTGTTCCTGCAGTATGGGGAGGAAACAAAGCAAGTCTGGGTGCCCACAGAAATCAGCAATCAGGATGCTCTTCGGGCTTTGTTTGTTACCGCTTTCCCTCAACAGCTCACCATGAAGATGCTGCAGTCTCCAAACATGGCCATCTACATCAAAGATACCACCCGCAATGTTTACTATGACCTGGAGGATATTAGGTGAGGGTGGTAAAGAGAATGATATACACAATTACATAGTTGTGCTCATAAGTTTACATACCCTGTCAGAATTTGTGACTTTTTTGGGCCATTTTTTTGTTTTAGAGAATATGAATGCTAATGGAAAAACTTTTTACTCGCTCGTGGTTAGGGGTTGGGTGAAACCATCTATATAAAAATGTATTTATAATCACAACACAAACAATCAGGGGTGTTAAACTAATTTTACATCATGTACACATGCAGCCCACTTTGATCTTAAGCAGGCAGCACCAGTGACACTCCCCTTTCTGTCAGTGTAAAAAACATTACATATTTAACTGGGTTTGTTTTTATATGATAAAGTGAGAAATGTGTCTGTTAGACTCTTTGGAGTTAGGTTGTTTAAAAAACAAATCAATTCTATAGTAGATAGTGAAAAACAGAAATCTTTCCTATTTTTACAAAGTTAGAGTGGTTTTGTTAGAGACATATTAAGCGTTTTGCAATTTGGAATAGTTTGTGAGAGCTGAAATTTCTTTTGTACTGAATTACACGTTTTTCTCCTCTTTGCAATCTTCTCTGAAGAGTGGCAACATGGGAGCTTCAAAACAACTCTCAAATGACCTGAAAACAAAGATTGTTCAACATCATGGTTCAGGGGAAGGATACAAAAAGCTATCTCAGAGATTTCAGCTGTCAGTTTCCACTGTGAGGAACATAGTGAGGATGTTGAAGACCACAGGCACAGTTCAAGTTAAGACCCGAAGTGGCAGGTCAAGAAAAATCTTAGATAAGCAGAGATGGTGAGAATGGTCATAGTCAAGCCACCAACCAGCTCCAAAGACCTACAACATAATCTTGCTGCAGATAGTGTCACTGTGCATCGTTCAACTATTCAGCGCACTTTGCACAAGGAAATGCTGTATGGGAAAGTGATGCAGAAGATCAGTGACAGAATCAAGAATTAGAAAAAGTTGCATTTCCTGCAAAAATGCAGTGTGAATGCCGTGTAGTGGAATCTGCTGAAAAAAGCTGAAGAAGCAGAATTATCTGCTGAAAAAAGCTGAAGAAGCAGAATTATCTGCTGAACAGATGTGTAGAAGCTGAACTGCTTGCTGAAGATGGCTATATTTGAAAGGGTACACTGCAGAGTGTCAAGAAAGTAGTGTGCATGCAAGCAGGGAAGATGTGCGGCAACCGCCACAGGTAGGATTCGAACCTTCATCACTGGGTCTCTCGGCAGCTGCTCATCCCACTGAGCCAAACCAGTTCCAGTCCCAAAACAAAGATATGATGAGAGAAAAAATGTGCACTGCACAGAAGAAGCTGAATTGTGCTGAAAAGAAGTGAAGAAAATGAAATTTGTGCTGAAAAGAGGTGAAGGAACTGAAAACAGCTGAAAGGGGTGAAGAAGGTAGAATTTGTGTTGAAAAGAGTTAAAAAACTTGAACTGTTTAATGAAAAAAATGTTGCCATAAGCGGGATTCTAACCCTGGCCTCCCGCTCTGAAAATGGCTGCTTATCTCACTGAGCTAAAACATGGCTCAGTCCAGCAAGCTAAACTGGTGATCACACTGAAAATGTGGTCTCTTTCATCAAATGGGCCAAAAAGTGGCATAAAAAGCTTAATATCTCAAAAAGTAGAAAAGTTGTGAGCACCAAAGGACATAGCTGGCATTAGCAGAAATAGCAGAACAGTTTAAATATTTGAATGGTAGCAATCGGCTGAAAACTGAGGGAGTAGTTAAGCGGCAAAGAAACGGAGCAACTAGAATAAGGTAGAAGAATAAAGTTTAAAGAGAAACAGGAACACAATGCCTCACCACATTCACACAATCAGTGAAGTTGAAGTTGCGCCAGGGCCGGATTTTTCAACAAGATAATGAACCTCAACACTGCTCAAACTCTACTAAGGCATTCATGCAGAGGAACAAGTACAACATTCTGAAATGGCCATCTCAGTCCCAACACCTGAATATTATTGAAAATTTATGGTGTGACTTAAAGCGGCTGTCCATGCTTGGAAACCATCAAACCTGACTGAACTGGAGATGTTTTGTAAAGAAGAATGGTCCAAAATACCTTCAACCAGAATCCAGACTCTCATTGGAAGCCATAGGAAGCATTTAGAGGCTGTTATTTCTGTAAAAGGAGGATCTGGGTACACGGTCGGCCCCCTGATCCGACTCCTCCTTGCTGCTGGTCCATGGGCCGGGACACAGATGGTCATGGCCAGTCCCCACTTACCGTCCGCAGAGGGATGGAATAGGCTAGGCCAGACGGCTCCCCGGGCTAGGTTGGGCGATGGGAGTATGTGGCGGGGTGTGGCTTGCAGGGAGGCTGAGACACACTGGAGCTCCATCAGCCAATTACGTCTCCCCTATTAAAGAATGTACTAGGACATGCGTTGTTGTTTTGTGTGTGGCTAGCAGCTGAAAAGCTGCGGCCGAGTGTTAGAGAAAAGAGCAACCAAATAATGAAGTGTCGAAACTGCAACTATGTGGTCCATCATTCATGTCACACAGGCCATTATTCTTTAAGTGCTTCCTATTATGTATCTTGAAATCCACTTTTTTTCCCCGGAGAGTCCCGTATGTCAACTGAAGTTATTTGTGGGTTTTCTTCTTGCATCCCGAACAAGTTTTGTGGCAGTTTTGGCTGAAATGTTTGTCTCCGTTACAAATGAATTTTCACACTTCTTTGTTTGAACACTGCTGATTGATGCTGTCAATTGCCTGGATATCATTTTTCCTGTTTCATAAAGTTCAACTATCGTCTCCCACAGATCCTTTGATCATTCTTTTGCTTTCCCTGTAGCTCAGAATCCAACATCAGTGCAGCACTGGGGGTTTGTCAGGAGCCCAGAAACTCACTGACGTTTTATACACACAACTAATTACAAGGAAACAGATCACGGACTGGTCACCGTTATTATTAAAACTTTCATGGTATATAAACATTGATCATGGTCATTTTGGTAGTTTCTGTTGTCATTATGATTTAAAAAGGGTATGTTTGATAATAAATGGTTTCTCCCACCCACTAATCATGATTGAAATCAAAGTTTTGTATTATCAATCATATTCTCTGGAAAATGGCCCAAAAATGACAAATTCTGCCACGGTATGTAAACTTACCAGCACAACTGTTTATAAACAAATCACAATCCCCTCCGTCCTTTTTACTCATTAACAAATTCAGATTATCTGTCATTGTGTTTTGTTATATTGCTCTTACATTTACTAAAGATGAAAAATTTTGAAAATATTTTGGTGTCAATTGTAAAGGAAACATTTTTTTCACTTTTGCCATCTTTAATTGATACATAGTTTTCCTTAAGCTTGTTTTTAGCACTAAACCTTACATACTCAGTCTGGCAGCTACACTTTTTGCTTCTTGTCAAATTCAAAAGGATTAAGAACCCTGAGGTTAAAAGGCTTCATCATTCAAAAAAGCATACACTTCATGTCGTGCTCTAAATGGTTTGTATCCTCCATCCCCTGCTGTACCTAGAGATAATGGCACTCTCAATATCATCTCCTTTCAGTTACAGAGCCTCCCACCTTCTACAAAACGACTTCTCAGCGTTTTAGGTTTAGGCAGCAAAAGGAAATCAATTTGCCTCATATATCAACAGTAACTGAATTGAAATAGACAGCAAAATGTTAACAATTGCATGCTGAACATCACAATGATAAACTAAATAAAACTGTTCTCACAAACAAAATTTAGACCACCCCTTTATTTTAAAGTACACGCTGCACAGCCATGAGACCTGTTTTGACCAAACAACATGTCTGATCCATTTAATTACTACTCAGTGATTTCAGCATACCACAACTTAAGCTAAATATTTAATAATGCGTTTCACATGTGTCAAAACTGATTCAGTATACCTTTTGTAGAAGTTGTTGCACACATTGATTTGTCACATCATGCAAATCTGTTGCTTCTAGACACATCACCCCCAACTCCTTCTTGAAGGCGTATCATAAAGACCCTGAACATGTGTTCAAACATCATGCCAAGTCTGCCACTGTAGGAGGAAAGGTGAGTCAGTCAGCTTTTTTTGTTTTGTTTGTTTTTTTCAATTTAATGCATTGTGGTTTATTTTCTCCACAGAAAATGGTACATGCAAAAAGTCGTTAATATTTACAGTATATACAAGATCTTTAATCAAAGGGATAGCTAAACACACTACAAACAACATTTTCCCATTACATTTCAGCAGTACTAGAATTTTGAGCAAAGCTATTAACATCCATCTCTTTGATTTCAGGACACAGCACTGAAAGTGAATATAAAATGCAAAAATATTAACAGTAGTTATATGAGAGCCTGGACACTGAACCCGTGTCTGGTGTGGATCAGGCCAACTAAACATAAAGATCAGAAACTTCCAGTTAGGTTGTTAATCTGTCCATCAGAATAAAGGATTAGCAAAATGTATCCAAGTACGGGGCCCATTTACAGAGCTCTAACTGTTTAAAACCTGTGAACTTTGTTACACCCCAGCCCAGGGGAAACCGGTGCACAACACAAGGAAAATAAAAAGAAAAGAGAGAATGTCCTCACACTCCTGCTCTCAAGGAAAACAAACCAAAAACTGCCACAGAGTTACATAACCAGTCAGATTATTAAATTCCAAAAGGTAGCGTCAGGGTGAGCATGGCCAAAACAACAAACAAAACTCTCTAGAAATGAAGTGAAACTGGCTTACCTACACGGAGAAAACCCAAAAGAAAATGCAGGTCTCTTCTCTGCCTCCCTAACCAAAAACAGGAGAAAATAGCTTCTCAGCCCTACAGCTACCGAGTAAAAATACTTACAACTATTTACAACAAAACTATTCACAACACAGCAAAAGCTTCTCATTCCAGAGAACAGAGTCTCACACACAGCCACAGCTCATTGGGAGCAGGAAGCAGCCAGGGGCAGAAGGGTCCTCATTTACAGCCGGCCTCTCCCAGTGCTCCACCAATGGTCAGCCTCCACCTGGAACTCACAAAACATCAATAACATAGAACACAAACTACGCCACCCTCTGGCCCCTAGCCGGTTTGGAAAACTCAGAGTGAAAAACGATACGCAGGGTTGAGTAACCCCGAACTGTCCAACTCGGAATATTCGGTTTCAGAAAGGCTGATAACAATTAGTTCAGTCAACGCGGAGTTGCTTTAACCCCAAGTTAAGCGCGCGCACGAGGATTAGTGGAGCACAGATTAAGCGAGTCACCATGGAGACGGAGGGAAAGAAGGCGCGGTCAATGTATTTTACAGCGCTTGAGGCCGAAATTCTGATGGCAGCATATGCCGATAACATGCAAATTGTGCGGAAAAAAAGTAGCACAGGCTCAGCTGCAAAAGAAAGGGAGCATGCATGGCAAAACATAGCCGACAGAGTCAATGCGTGAGTGTTAATTTAATATATAAATAAGTTGTTATGAGTCAGTGTCATGGAGTCATGTTTTGTACTGTGTGGTTGTTGTCTGTCACACCAGGGCCCTGTTTCAGGAAGCCGGTTTAGTGCAAACTCTGAGTAAGTATACCCTGAGTTAACGAAAACTCTGGGTTTTCGGTTTCACAAAGCGAGTTTAGATTAATTCTGAGTGAGTTACTATGACGACACACTCCGTGAAGCTAACCTGCCCCCTAGCAGGTTTACTTCAACTAACCCTGACTTTCTCCGCCTCTTTGTCGGAAACCTGACTGTAGGAAGTGTCAGACATGGCGTGCCCTTCCTTGAAGAGCCAGTAGATGTTGAAGCCCAAATTCTCCGCAGAGCTCTCCGCCGGGAGAGAGTGATTAGAGCGCGTTTGGACATTTTATCATTTCCTGATGATTTTCTGTGTGAACGTTACCGTTTTTCAGCACAATCTATAATTTATTTGAATAACATCCTCAGGCCTAATATTGCTCATGTGACACATCGCGGACATGCTCTCAGTTCATTACATATTATTTGTATTGCACTTCGGTTTTTTGCAAACGGGAGCTTTCTGTATAATATTGGTGACGCTGAGCACGTTTCCAAGGCTACCGTCTGTCGGGCAGTCAGGAATGTTACAGTTGCACTGAAACGTCTCCTGTACTCGTTTGTGGTGTTCCCCGGTCATAGACCCACAAGATTTATCAAAGAGGGATGCCACAAAATTGCAGGTATCAGGATGACCAAAACTTAATTTATGATGTGGTGATACT